TGTTATGCCACTTTAAAGTTAAACATTTACTACATGGCTTTTTCTCTTTAGTTCTGCCTTTACACTGGAATTTACCTTCATTTCTTATCCTTCAACTGCCCTTTTTCACTACAGAGTGCAGCGCTGTAACTTAATTTATAGTAAACGTTCTAAACAGAGGAAAACCTTTGGTCATGGATTGAACAGTGGGGTGTGGCTTTGCGATGCTGAGGGGAGAGACAGGAAGATAAGGGCGACAGTACAGACAGAATCTGACCAAGTTTTAAAGGTCTGGGCCCAATACTGATGAGACAGCAGAGAGAAGAGGTTAAAAAGAAAACGAAGCTTCTGGGAGATGCAGATGCAAGGAAGCTACTACCCAGCTATGTCTACTCTACTTTTCAGACACAGTACACCTCAGCACCTACACATCACATAAGATGCGTATCATTCAAGCTCTCACTCTTTCAGTAAATTGTAACTTTAGTTCAAATATATGAAGGTGGTGAAAAGAAATCCAACTACAAAAAAAAAACTTTAAAAGGTTCAAGTAGTTTATGGTCGATCAGAGAATATGCAAATGAGAACAAAACCAAACACACACGTGCAGATACACAACTACTTTGTTGGTGGTAAAGATTAAAGTCAACATAGTTAAAATATTATTTGGGGAGTATATAGACAATGATTTCTATTTCAGTCTTGTCAAATGCTTAAAATGACCCTGGGATCTTTGTTTATGAAATACCAGTTGGCTTAAGGACTCACTTGAAGAACCAGGCCCTAACTTGTTTGGGAGTTAGCTTGCTCTTGAGGTGTATTAACAACCACCACCACCAAAAAACAAAACAAAACCCCAACTGGCATGCAGGTGTTGTGTTTGTATACCTTAGGTTACTTCCTTGTAATATATAAAAGTAACCCAGCTCTCTGGGACACCTCAGCCACGTGGGCACCATTAACTTCCTAGCTAATTCTCTGCTTTCTGAATAAGCCAGTTGGCTGAGGCAAGAAATCTTCAGATCCCAAAAGGGACTGTAAGTCTGCTGCAGCTGACTTTCTAACCAACAGACTCCACATGGAGACTTCTGAACCACTTCCATGGCCCATTTTCTGTTCCTTCTGTGTTCAAATAGCAAACCTGTATGGATGTACCAAAAGGAAGAGAAATATGAAAAATAAAAAGTAAAAACAACCTAGAGGAATAAAAGAATCCTGGAATGAACTAAGTAGGAGTTGAATCTCTGAATTTGCATAGGCCAGCCATTCAAAAGCTGAAAGACTGGGGCACCTAACCTTTCTGGGCCTCAACTTCCCCACTTTACAAGAAGGGAAGTAGACTAGATCCCTAGATGATTTCCATCAGCCGAACTTAAGAGTATAATAGCTCTGTATGCATATATTATTGGGGCCAGAATAGACAAAAATAACTCCATTCGTGAAGACCATGTATAAATGATTAGCTTTAAGAATACTTTTTGGGGTTACTGAAGCCTCCATGAAAGTATATACCTTCTCTAAAAGGAGACCTCATCTTGTTTTAGGAACAGAAAGCCCACAGTGACCATGACTGCTGTTTTCAAACATACACATTCCAGGAAGCGGACTTTTATGTGGAGAGGCCAATTCCAATTTTGCCAAACCTTATTCTGTGTGAATGATTCCTTCAATGCATAGAAAGGAGACAGACATCAACGCTGACTGACCACGCCTGATAGGAAGTGACTTAAGAGGACAGGAAATCAAATAGATCACAAAATATCCACCCCCACCCCAGGGGAAGAAAAAAAAGTCCTAAAAATAGATGACACCAGGCATGTAAAATGGGTAAGAAATCCCCATGGGTTTCCACCATTTATCTTGGAAATGTATCTCACAATATCTATCAGCTATGTGGCATTCATGCTAGTGTTTCTATTTTGATGCGACCAATTATTTCTTTTCTTTATCCTAACATTTACTTGCTTACTACTACTCTGCAAGCTGTAACTACCTCCCAAGTTTGAAAACTGACCAAAAAAATCTGACCACAAAGCAAACAAAAAAATGGCTCCAGTTTACTTTATAAACATTTGTTGCACAAACTAAAAATGAACCTCTGCCTAGTAAACATCTGCAACTATTAGAACTTACCTGCATTATAACGCAAATCTCAGTACCCAATCAGAACAGGTTCCCAGTTTTTATTGAGAGGCTCCTAAATCTAGTAAGGGTTTTTAAAAACTCAGCATTCCCATTTCATCTTATTCTTAGACACTTAATTTTTGACAAAGGGGTTAAAATTCTTTCATCATAGGCATCCTGGTAAGGGAAGGTTTGATGGTCTCAACAAATGAATTACATAGGGTCATGTCAGCACAAACGAGAATATGCATGTGAAGGCGTGTGGAACCATGTTTAAAAAGAGATGTGTCAGGTTTAAGGAAACTCCTTGGTAAACATTAAAATACTGGCATTTATTTTCTTTGATGCCCCACCTATCTTCGTATTTAACCCCTACCCCTCAATAGTCTGGATTAATAGCAACTAGTATTTATGTAGCAATTCACAATTTGCAAAGCACTTTGACTACATGATCTCATTTGAGACTCACCACTAAATAGGAAGGTGCTATTTTTAGGTCCCATTTTTACATGTGAGGAAGCTGACACTAAATGGCTGACTTGCCCAAGCTCACAAAGCTGGTGATAGCTGAATGGAACCTGAACACAGGTCTCCTGACTTTAAATGGCTGGATTTTGCTACCGCACCATGCTGCCTCAAATACTGTAATCAGAGTATAAATAAATGCCCAAATCTAAGACCCCATCTAAGTCGTCCCCACCCACACACACCCACCCCTAGTCTAAGTTCTAGTTAGCTGTGGAAGGTCCTATGCTCCTTATGGAAGCAGAGTTTTCTTCATTTTTCTGGAAAACATTTATCTGCCTAATGTGTTAAATAAGGAGATCATATAAACACCATTCTGCATATACTGGAAGATATCTTAGTCACCAGGAGGTTCTGCATAGGCATGCCTATGTGCATTTTTCCAGGTAGTGGGTCAGATTCTCAGAGTCCATGACTCTGAAAGGTTAAGAACCCAAGCTAGAGGCAATGGCTAGAGATCTTTCCAAGAAGCGAAATCCACAAAGTTCTCAAAGAGTTTTAATCAAGGCCTCATACTATGCCCCACTTACCTTCTGCCTTCCCTGCTCCAGGCCTTCTCCCAGGCTAAAAGAGTCATGCGGTATCTACATCTGTTTTTTAAATCATACGTAAAACCTGGAGCAACTGATAACATATAAATCAATGACTTATAAAAAATAAATTTAAATTATCTGTTAAAGTGTAATCCTTAACACATACTCCTTTCTCGTATGATTTAACTTCCCAGAATGACAGTTTTCTTACCATAAGCATTCCAATTCCCTCAAAGAAGTTTTACAAACATAACTGCTTTGAACTCTTGAAATGCCATTCTTCACTAAGAACTCTCTAGATTACACAGAAGACAAGGTAGCGTGCAAGGAATTCTGAATCTGTTAGGCAGTTCACTCAACTATCATACCAAAAGGATTTAGAATTTTTTTGCTGGGGGAAGGAACAGAGAAGAGTGGGAGAGAGAATGAATGCAGCCCTATTGTCTTACTGCTTGAAAACTCCTAATCTGAATCTATAACATATTCCTACTAACCACTCGACTTGAACATCAGAAGTACAGTCTCTTTTCATCTTAGAGCTTTTCAGTCTAAATCTGTATAAACAAACTTTGTCCTTCCATCTTTCAACTCCTCGTCAGTTTTTCAAGGTCACTTTTGCGAGCAACGACAGAGGCCTGCATCGAGCAACTTTGACTGCTACACCACTCATTTGAAGAGCCCCAAATCTAAACCCCTATGGATCCTCTCAGGTCAATCCTTTACACGAGGGGAAGCCAGGGGAAGGCAATCAGCACCCTCCAAACTTCTCCTCTACTAGGGCCTGCGCCTTTTCCCTACCCAGAGACTGAGTACTGCTGGCTCACTGCTCCACGCTGAGTCTGCTGCAGAAATGTTCCAATGACCTTCATTCCATATTTTCAAATAAGAAGAAAACAAAGAATTGCTTTTTAAAATCAAGTGTATTATAGATGTTAGTACATGGGACAGAAGAGTTCACTATTCACAAAACCTGGCTGGTTACTGATTAGCAACCAGCATCAGCTTTGTATCCCTAAAAGAGGGGGAAAAAATTATCAAGGGCAAAAGACAGGGTGCCTGTACTCTTAACTTTCCTATTCACAAAATGCAGGAAAATTAGGATTCAAAATATTTCATACAGAAAATGAAAACCACTTCACTCACATTTTTAAAGAACTAAACCAATGCCTGACAAAATGTGTGAAACTGGTAGAAAAAGCTCTTTTCACTGCCAATATAGTGGAAAAGTATGTTTCTCACCAACATTCTAAACTAGAATGTGTATTTTAAAACAAAGACTGTTACTTAATTACTGGTACGTATTAGAATAGAAGCAGACAGGTAAATCAAGAAAGTTACGGGAGAATTTCACATTGGCATGTGGGCCTTCACCATTAGAACCTGCATCCGTGCAAACCGTATTTTCACACAAATTTAGAACAGCAATGGTGTTGCTTCCACCTCTGAAAACACAGATGTCAACAAAGTGCATGGAAACAGAAAAAGTCTTACAACAACTCAGCTTATTCTGTAGGAAAGCTTCAGTGCACTTGAACAAAGGAAAATTATTTGGAAAACAGTTAAGTTTACCCAATGCAAAGAGAAAGTGCTTTGCTTCTGTGTGTCCCTGAAAAATGATTAGCCTTTCTTCATGTACCTGATCTTGTCAATACTCAACTAGGAAAAGAAATCCTAGGTGAAGGGCATGCAAAATCTAAACAGAGCCAAGGTATTCTAGGTGCACCAAAAGGTATGCATGGAATGTAAAGTGGCCATTTTCTGAAACAGTGCAACTTGTCTACACTCTCTGAAGCTAAACAGTTTCTACCATTTTAACACAAAACAAAGAATGAAACTTACCGGGAACTGCATTAATTTTACATGTAGTTATTTATATCTCCTCGGACAGGGAGAATTTAAGTCACTCCCAGCCCTCCCCCCCCAAAAGGACGGAGGAAACAAAAGGCAGCAGGAGATGCAGAAACCTGAGTCTGGAATGTCCACTCCAGTGAAAACCCGAACAGCTGTTCCCCCACCCCCCAGCAAACTATTCGCCATTTTTCTTTGTCTTTCAGCTGACCCCTGCCTCAGTGAAAAACTCCGAGGCTCCAATGAAGCCCTGCAGCCTCCTTCCACTTTAACAGTCAAAGGCATTCAATCTAGCATGCTATTTGACACCAAACCTTGCCTCCAGAGTGGTCCCATTGGCTGAGCTGCTTTATCAGCTAAGAACACAAAGCCATGATTGGCTGTTCACGTCATCAGTTACCTCCTTTGTACACTTCCTGTTTTAAAGTTACCTTGAGAAGCAGAACAGGGGTCAGATTCAGACTTCAAACTACAGGGAACTTAAGGCTTGGAAATGCCTGGCAAATGCACACAGCAGATGCACTAGGGCCTCTTGTGTTTCCAAAACAGAGGAAACTGCAAATTTACAATGTTCTTAAAATCACACGAAAGGGTTGTTACAGTTCCCACCCAAAGGATTTCTTATTGGCTGTCAGAGTTCCACTTAAAAAATTTAAGGTAATTTAACTGCTTCTGATTGGCCATCAGAGATGTCTGTAAGATATTGCTACAGTATACTATGGCAGTAAACCAGAGAAGCAATGTGCCTAAGATCGGAAAGTTGTGACTTAACTATCCAGTTTTCTCTTGAGCATTAACAGAAGAAAAAGAAAACAGAGTGCGCTCATCCAACAGCTCCAAAGAAAATGTGACCTCTTTACAGTAACAAAGAGTGATAACAATGGCCATACAACAGCTTGTAGGATTTCTAAAAAGGCATCTGTCATTATGTCCCTGGTAATTCTGAAAGCACATATTAGTACTAGTTTGAAACACAAACTAATCTAAATAGGAAAATTCTGGAGTAATATAAGAAGGTAGTGACAGAGATGGTGGCATTTCCAAAAGGTACTACCAGGAACCCGAGAGGGAAATACAATAATAAAGGGGGGTGTGGGGGGGGGGAACTGGCAGAGATAGAACACCAATGACTATTGTTTAAAGTTCATTACAGTTTGATGGATTTATTATTTAGGATGGTCATAAAAAATGATTGGCTTTTAATATTACAGTATTGATATCATAGAGAATAAACTTTTCTACCACATTTTCAAGAATAAGTAACAGCGATAATCTCAGGATAGACAGTGTAAGTACTGCAGTTACTGCAGACATTCTGGGGTGCTGAAGTTTACCACAGTGGTCAAAGAGTTGCTTATGGATTTTGGGCCCAACTGTTGAGGTTTTAAAGAGGAGCCTCCTAATATGGTGAAAATGAATTAACATGTCTTTTTTCTTTTCTTTTTACAAAATATTCAAATAGAAACATCGCAGTATTACCAAAGGCCTTTAACAGTCTCCTTAGATCTGCTTCCTCCCTTGAAACCAAGTATTCCAGGACTAAACAACACAACTGTTTTGCCAGGGGAAGGAGACCTTCTCTAGAAATACCTCGGCTGACCTTACATGCGAAGTCATCATGGGCATCTGCGGGGATTTGGTAGCGCCCTGAAACAGAAGCACGGTGGTCCTTCTAATCGCTTTGCCATACTAACTTCTCTATACACATTCTACTCGTTTCTCACATTGAAATGAATTAATTTCATCATGATTAGTGCCAAGTTCTATGCTAGGTATGTTACAGCCTCTCCCCCTCTAATCTTCACTATCCTCTTTTATTTGTGAGAAAGAGTGAAGGAGAAGTCTGACAACTGGCTCCTAACCATACACTGAGGATGCAAACTCAGGTCCCACCTACGGTGCTATTCTTTCTATTGTACCACAATGCTGATACCGAGACATGGAGCAACCTCAGGGCACAGCCAAGGAAATTCTTTGGGGTCACATATATGTAGAGGTAGCATAAACTATTACACACAACTTCATTAATTTAAAAATCAGAAATCTGACTGATGTTGAGCTTGATCTCTTGGTTAGAGACCTAGCTAAGTATGTGACAAAATAGCACCCTTTCCTTAAGGCCCTAAAGCTACTAGAAGGGACTGTCTCTCTTCTATCTCCAGCATACCCTGCAACCCTGCAGAAAGCAACTCCTGAGCCATAAAAGGCAGTGTGGGAGGACTACCAGCTGCTACAAAAAATCTTCTCCATGCCTTTCACCACCAATCCAGGCTGAAATTTGGTTCTTGTCCCATATGCCCACCCTTGACTGTTTGATGTACCCGATTAAACCAAACATGTCCCTTAATACTCTGTGAAGGTCTTTGGCGTAGTTTTTACTAGTTCTTGGAAAGTTTGCAAGAAAAACATTTCAACCCCTATTTCTTTTCCTTTTTTAAAGATTTATTTATTTATTTGAGAGAGAGGGGGAGACAGCATGGGGGAGGAGGAGAGGGAGAGAGAAACTTAAGCAGACTCTGCATTGAGCACGGAGCCCTACTTGGGGCTCTATCTCACAACCCTGAGGTCACGACCTGAGCTGAAACCAAGAATCAGACACTTAACCAACTACACCACCCAGGCGCCCCTCAACCCCTACTTCTCATCAACAGCCACCTTACTATAATTCAAGCTACAAGTGGGAAGAGAACTGAAATTATCCTAGAATTTCCATCTGGCAGCCTGGCCCATTCACTTACTATTGCTTTCTCCTCTCTAGCCTGTTGTTACTGTGGACTAAGAGCCTCATGGGATCTCTGGGATTCCAACTCACATTCTTCCCTGGTCCTGGATCTCAGCAGCCCTCCAAACCAGACAACTGCGTCATCTTGCCCTAAAAAACACCCAGATCACTATGAGGCAAAACGAAGGCCTCTGATTAAGTGGTTCAAGCTTAAATACTCTCAAAGTAGGCATAGTGGGATTTGATGCTCTTGGTCAGAAAATTCTATGACCCTAGCCAAGTTACTTAACCATCTCCGAGCTCACTTCTTCATGTATAAAATGGAAAAAAATAACACCAACCCATGGGAATGTTGAGGCTTAAATGACAAGGTAAAGCACTCAGCATTAATACCTAGCATGTGGTAGGTACTCAATATCTAAATATACACTTGACTATAGCACTTATCACACATTATAATTACTTTCAACCATGTCTCTATTACCAGAGGAGGGCTTCCTGAAGACAGCGGCTGTGTTTTGTTTATATCCACATATATCCCCAGCGTTCAGTACAGAGGTATATCTCAAACACAACCTTAGCCGTAGTCTCAACGAAATAACAAGGAGTAGTGGGGATTGAGGAAAACTGGAGAGTGTATGTCCCACCTAAAGGGGCAGCCATTGTTCAGCTCCAACAGACAAAGGCCATGGAGGAATACTAATCCACTGCAGCAAGAGCTTCAAAACCAATAAAAGATGCAAAAGCCAGATCCTGAATACAAAAAGGTGATGCTAGAACAGCTCTTGATCTGCCATCCTGAGGAATGACTGAAGGACCAGAGTTATGGCAGAAGTTGGCCCTAACCACCATGACAAGGTCTTGCTCAGTCCCCCAGATAACCTAATCCTGGAGGTTATACTGCATCACATCAGAAGCATAACTAGCAGCAAAGATATTGGGCTCTTCAGTGCCCTGAACAAACATTTTACTGATGGTACCCCTAACTGATTTCTTTGGACTTAGTGAAGTAAGTAAACCCAGAAGCCCCAAGAAATATCACAGAACCTCTAAAAAAAAAAAACTTTTCATATGTTGTGATGTGAACACAAAACCATATTCATTTGAATATTAAATACATTGTATGACTTCTTACATACTAAGCTGATGAGAGATATATATAGCAGTTTTGTACTGATGTTGTGATAGGTTAAGGGAATGGGGTATTTTTTTAATGAATTCCTTTAATGCAACCACTCAGAATCAAACACTGTATTTTGCTTATGTAAATGAGAAACAAGGCTGAGTTAGTCTCCCAATATTAGATAACACTATACAAACTGTTTTGTAATCTTTTTCACTTAAAAAATGTTAACTTTCGGGCGCCTGGGTGGCTCAGCTGGTTAAGCGACTGCCTTCGGCTCAGGTCATGATCCCAGGGTCCTGGGATTGAGTCCTGCATCGGGCTCCCGGCTCAGCGGGGAGCCTGCTTCTCCCTCTGACCTTCTCCCCTCTCATGCTGTTCCTCTCTCGCTCGCTCTCTAATAAATAAATAAAATCTTTAAAAAAAATGTTAACTTTCCATATCAAATATATATCTACATCATTTATAATTGGGTTATAGTCCATTGAATGGATGTACCATAATTTTCAATCAGTTTTATATTAACTTGTGTTTCCAATTTTTTTTTTACCTTTTGAATTTTTTGAGTACAGTTTTCACAATATTACTAGTTTCAGGTGTATAACAGTGATTCAACTTCTCTGTGTTAAGCTCACCACAAGTGTAGCTACCACCTGTCCCCATACAACACTATTACAGTATCACTGACTATATTCCCTATGCTGTGCCTTTCATTTCTGTGGTTTATTCATTCCCTAACTAGAAGCCTGTATCTCCCACTCCATTTCAGCTATTCCATGCCCTCCTTGGCAACCATCAGTATGTTCTCTGTATTTATAGGTCTGATTATGCTTTTTTGTTGTTCATTTGTTTTGTTTTTTAGATTCCACATATGACTAAAATCATATAGTATCTGTCTTTCTCAGTCAGACTTACTTCATTTAGCATAATAGCCTCTAGGTCCATCCATGTTGTCACAAATGGCATAATCTCATTCTTTTATATGGCTATGTAATATTCCACTCTGTGTGTGTGTGTGTGTGTGTGTGTGTGTGTACACACACCACATCTTCCTACCCACTCGTCTCTTGATGGACATTTAGGTTGCTTCCACATCTTGGCTATTGTAAATAATGCCAAGGCTACAATGAGAACAGGGGTACATATATCTTTTTGAATCAGTGTTTTCATTTTCTTTGGGTAGATGCCCAGTAGTGGAATTACTGGATCATATGGTATTTCTATTTTTAATTTTTTGAGGAATCTCCATACTGTTTTCCACAGTGGCTGTACCAATTTACATTCCCACCAACAGCACACAAAGGTTCCTTTTTCTCCACATCCTTGCCAAACTTATTTCTTGTCTTTTTAATTTTCTGACAGGTGTAAGGTGATGTATCATTGTAGTTTTGATTTGCAT